TATTTATTGCGTCCGTTGGTGTGCCTTTCAAGCAGTTACATTTAGAGGCCACAACGAAAAGTCTGATTCCATTAACAGAGGGAATTTTCTTGAAATGTTGGAGGCACTTAGTGAGTTTAGCACTGAGCTTAAAGAGTTATTTTGTCATGCTCCCAGATATGCATCATATACATCACCGTCGATTCAAAAGGAAATTTTGAATCTTATATCAAATAAGGTGAGGCAAATGATTTGTGAGGAAATTGGTGGTCGTCGCTTTTGTTTACTTGTTGACGAAGCACGGGATGGGTCTCATAAAGAGCAAATGTCTCTTGTTTGAGATTTGTTAATAAAGAGGGTTTCATTATAGAACGTTTTTTTTGACTTGTTCATGTACGTGACACTACGGCACAAACGCTCAAGGATGGAATCTATTCTTTGTTGTCACATTACAATCTTGATGTCAAGTCTATTCGTGGACAAGGGTATGATGGTGCAAGCAATATGCGGGGTCAATTCAAAGGTTTGCAAGCCTTGATTTTAGAAGATTGTAAATACGCATATTATGTTCAYTGTCTTGCTCATCGGTTGCAATTGGCATTAATGGCCGCTTCTCAAGGAGTTGTAGCACTACGTAAGTTTTTTACAACGTTGTCTTTTGTTGTCAATGTTGTTAGTGCTTCTTCCAAACGCACTGACCAACTACGAGATGCACAAGTCGAGCAAATTGCATACTTGATTTCWGTTGATGAATTAGAGACCGGTAGAGGTCTCAATCAAATTGGTACATTACAACGAGCCGGAGATACTAGATGGAGTTCTCATCTCAGATCTGTTTCTAGCCTAATCAAGATGTTCAGTCCAACTTGTGAGGTTTTRCTCAAAATTTTTGAGGAAGGAACTGGGCCAATCAAAGGAGATGCAGATTCGGCATATGAGGCTATGACGACATTTGAGTTCATATTTATCTTGCATCTCGAAAGAGAAATAATGGAGATCACTGATATACTTTGTCAAACTTTACAAAGGAAAGATCAAGATATTTTTAACTCATTGAGGTTAGTTGCATCTACCAAATTGTTATTGCAACTAATGAAAGAGGAAAGCTGCGAGGCTTTGCTTTGCGTTGTTAAGTCATTTTGTCAGGTACATAACATAATTATCATACACTTGAACATCGTTATCAAGTAAATCTTCCTAACTTGTCTTCTTCTTGACTTGTTTTCTTGTCAGGTACGTAACATAGATATTCCCGACTTGTCTTCTTCCTACGTTAGCAGAGGGAATCGAGTTCGTAATGAGCATAGTGATCATACACTTGAGCATCATTACCGAGTGGATATCTTTTATGAAGCAATTAATTGTCAATTAATGGAATTAGATCATCGTTTCAGTGATGGTTCCATGGAGATGCTT